GAAAGCCCTACTAAGCAGGTATATACGAAAGTATGAAGGCTATTGCTTAACACATTGTAAGCCACCCTGAGTCTCTGGAAAAGGGCGGCATATAAATCGAACCAATAAATAAATAAATAAATAAATAAATAAATAAATAAATAAATAAATAAATAAATAAATAAATAAATAAATAAATAAATAAATAAATAAATAAATATCTGGCAAAAATGTTTTCATGTTTGACCAATCAAAGAAGTTGGGACATAGCTAGGTGCAATTTACTTTATGTGGGACCATTTTTGAAGATGATTTGGAAGTTGTAGCTAGCCCAGAGTTTTGGGTCCAATTTGAGATGCCCGATATTGCCTATAAAGCCCCATATAATTGGAAGCCTTGTTACTTTTAAGACGGGTAGTATTTGTCTACCCTATATTGCAGTGGTGAAATGTAAAATTTGTTACTACCGGGTTCTGTGGGCATGGCTTGATGGGGGGGGAGGGGATAATGTGACTGAGTGGGTGTGGCCAACTTTTCTTTTTTTACTTTTAAAACCATTTTTTCTACAACCTCTTCAGCCGAAGAGGTTGTAGAAAAAAATGCTTTTAAAAGCCTCTGACGATCCCAGCTGAGTTGCTTGATCGCCAGAGGCTTTTTTTTCCTTTTAAAAACATTTTTTCTACAACCACTTCGGCCGAAGAGGTTGTAAACAAAAATGATTTTAAAAGCCTCTGACGATCCCAGCTGAGCCGCGCGATCATCAGAGGCTTTTTTTTAACTTTTAAAAGCATTTTTTTTGGCCAAAGAGGTTGTAGAAAAAATGCTTTTAAAAATTAAAAAAAAAGCCTCTGATGATCATGCAGCTCAGATGGGCATGGGGGGGGGTAGGGATTTTTGCTACTGGTTCACCGAACCACCCGCCGCCATTGCTACCGGATCAGGTGATCCGGTCCGAACCGGGAGCATTTTACCCCTGCTATATTGTCTGTTGAGAGTATATAAATAAATAAATAAATAAATAAATAAATAAATAAATAAATAAATATATGCAAAAATGTTTTCATGTTTGACCAATCAAAGAAGTTGGGACATAGCTAGGTGCAATTTACTTTATGTGGGACCATTTTTGAAGATGATTTGGAAGTTGTAGCTAGCCCAGAGTTTTGGGTCCAATTTGAGATGCCAGATATTGCCTATAAAGCCCCATATAATTGGAAGCCTTGTTACTTTTAAGACGGGTAGTATTTGTCTACCCTATATTGCAGTGGTGAAATGTAAAATTTGTTACTACCGGGTTCTGTGGGCATGGCTTGATGGGGGGGGAGGGGATAATGTGACTGAGTGGGTGTGGCCAACTTTTCTTTTTTTACTTTTAAAACCATTTTTTCTACAACCTCTTCAGCCGAAGAGGTTGTAGAAAAAAATGCTTTTAAAAGCCTCTGACGATCCCAGCTGAGTTGCTTGATCGCCAGAGGCTTTTTTTTCCTTTTAAAAACATTTTTTCTACAACCACTTCGGCCCAAGAGGTTGTAGAAAAAAATGCTTTTAAAAGCCTCTGACGATCCCAGCTGAGCCGCGCGATCATCAGAGGCTTTTTTTTAACTTTTAAAAGCATTTTTTTTGGCCAAAGAGATTGTAGAAAAAATGCTTTTAAAAATTTAAAAAAAAGCCTCTGATGATCATGCAGTTCAGCTGGGCATGGGAGAGGGGGTAGGGATTTTTGCTACTGGTTCTCCAAACCACCCGCCGCCATCGCTACCGGATCAGGCGATCTGGTCCGAACCGGGAGCATTTTACCCCTGCTATATTGTCTGGTTGAGGGTATAGGGTGCCACCCCAAAGGATATCAGAGGGATGATGATCCAGAGAATGGTATTCTTAGGGGAAGCTGTTCCCTTTGGAATATCTTCCACCAAGGGTGTTAAGCTCTATTTCATTGACGGCTGCACCAGAGTTGTGTTGAACTTGGAGGGGCCGGCATTGGGGGTGTAGCTGGGGTGACCATGGCCAGCTCAACATCACTCATGTTGGGGGCACCTGTGGCGGCCTGAGCACTCTGCCAAGCTCCGTTTTTGGCTGCAACAGCCTCCTACAACCCTCTACCAATGAAAATAGAGCTTGTGAGGGCTGCTTACGGCCCTGCTGAGCTCCATTTTTGCTGTGATGGCTCCTGCAACCCATTGCTAGCAAAAACAGAGCTCAGGAGAGCCATGAGTAGCCCTCCCAAGCTCCATTTTTGCTGGCAGAGGTACTGCGGGCTGGTTCTTCACTGTTTCCAGGGTGGCCCTGTGGCCCAGATCTAAACATCCACAGGCCTTGAGTTTGATACCCCTGCCTTACACCCTGAGCTTCATCTTGCCTTTTATCCTTTAGGAAGCAAGTCAAAAGCCATCCCTTCCATCTGGCATTTGGAGAATGCGATTTGGATGGAAGACAATGGCAGGCCTTGAAAAGATTGTTAATGCTTTATTGGTTTTAATGATGTTGAATGACAGCATCTTGTTAGCTACCTAGAGTCCTTTGAGTAAGCAGCATACAAATAATTATGGCTCAGTTGGCTTAGCTGCTGGTCGGGGGGGGGGGGGGGGGAAACCCACTTTCTGTCTTTGATCCCTGTTAAATTGTTCTATACTGGCCAAAGTTCCTTGTTGCTTTGTAAAATGAGGGCAAGCTGTTAGAGAAGCTATCTAATTGTCCAAAACAATTCCAGTGTTCTGGTTTTGGAAGAGATGGAAAACCCTATAATTGTGATTGCAGTATAACTTCTTCAATTTTGAAATAAAGGGTTTTAAAATTCAACTTTGCCCAGAATCCATTTCCTTGATTTCATCTTTCAGTTCCAAATATGTCATATAGAAGTGATCTCTCAGGGGCAAACTGAGAAAAAAAAAAGTTTTTTGTACAAGCAGAATTGCGAACACTCTTATACAATCAATAGGCACCCATGAGGTCTGTGTGATTATCTCCTGGACATCTTTGCTGGGAAGAAACTTTCTTTTTTTCATTTTTTCATTTTATCCTTTTGACCACAAATGGAAGAATTCGTTCTTTCCAGGAGTTATTAAAGATGGTTATCTACTCAGAACCTGTCTTCTGAAGTCACCAAATCATTGTAACAAAAGTCCCCATATTTGTGCCAATGTTTTGTGGTTTAATTGATTTAACCACATCTTTCCCCCATTTCTTAAAAATAGGTGCACAGGCCTACAAACACCTTCTGTCCTTCCAGTGAGATAGTTACACTTTTCTCACCCTGCTAACAGCAATGAGTCCTAGACTGTATCAAATCAAATCAATCTCAAATCAAAAGAGGGCCTTTGCCCAACTTCATATTGCATCCCAATTGCACCCATTCCTGGATCATGAGACTCTGCTCACATCTATTCATGTCCTGGTCACCTCCCAAAAGGATGGCTATATCATAGTCTACATGAGGCTGCCCTTGAAGAGTATCCAGAAGCTTCAGGACTCTCCACGTTGTGCACCACTCATGAATCGGAAACTACTGACCCAATGCAAGGTATTTTCTTCCCTTAATCCTCTTAAAAATTATAACACATAATGCCCATAATATATTTCCTATAAAATAATATGTGCCAATTGAACTCGCTTCAAACTATACACATTGTCAGCTGAAGATTCTTCCTGGACAGCTTTCAGCTTAGTTCTGATGTCAACCCTACGAGATGGGCCAGGAAACTGACTCTATAAGTTTCATTGGAAGAATGATATATTGATATAGATGATAGAAAAAGGATCTTCAAAGCCTCCTTTCTCTCTTCCTTATACTCTAGGGAACTTGGGAAAATGTAAATCTGAGGTTCTTCCTAGTGCTTTCCTTTGTTTCTTAGCTTTAAAGCATGTTTTTTAACATTCAATAGCTTTTCTCTGCATTGTTTCACCAAGACCATCTTTGAGATTCTAGGAGAAGGACTGACTGTGTCTTTCACCATCATCTTCTCTTATCCATCTAACTTAACCTCCCAAGTATCATCCCTTGAGGATGACTGCTGTTTTGTGGGACAGGAAGGCTGTGGGACAGGAGGTGGAGTTTTCTCTCCCAGTCATCCACATGTATGATATTGGGCAGGGTACCAGATCCAAAGAGATGTAAGTAGGCATGCCAGTTGCAAAATTAGAATGATCACTAAGGTAAAGGTAAAGGTTCCCCCCGCACATGTGTGCTAGTTGTTTTTGGCTCTAGGAGCGGTGCTCATCTCTGTTTCTATGCCGAAGATCCAGCGCTGTCCGAAGATATCTCCGTGATCACATGGCTGGCATGACAAAACACCAAAGGCACATGGAACGCTATTACCTTCCCACCAAAGGTGGTCCCTATTTTTCTACTTGCATTTTTTACATGCTTTCAAACTGCTAGGTTGGCAGAAGCTGGGACAAGTAATGGGAGCTCACCCCGTTACGTGGCACTAGGGATTTGAACCGCTGAACTGCCGATCTTTTGATCGACAAGCTCAGCGTCTTAGCCACTGAGCCATTGTGTTCCCAGAATGATCACTAGATGATGTCAAAGAGTCTGTTGTATCTCTGTGCTTCCATCTAACGACTGTCCAGATTTTTGTAGTCTAATTATGCTATGCCTAAATTTAACAAATGAACTTTTAACAGGTTTTTTTTTTTTAAAATCATAGAGGAGTAAAAACTAAGGCCAATGGACTCCAAGACTCTGTATTTAAAAGTATAGACTACAGAGCTGCCCGGTCTGTGCCAAATATACATACCATGCAGGGGTGGGTTCTACTTACCTTTACTACCAGTTCGCAATGGGGCCGCGTGTGTGCGCTTGCTTTGCTCGCACATGCGCGCATTCTTCTGCGCAAGCGCAGAAGCTTCTGTGCATGTGCAGAAGCGTTTTGATGACATCAGGGTCAGTGGGTGGAGCCTCTAGCCAGTTTTACTACCGGTTCTATAGAACCGGTCCGAACCGGGGGCAACCCACCACTGATACCATGTGACATCTTACTTTAGAAGAGTTTCAAAAAAATCATGATATGTTTCCCTAGATGCTTTGTTTCTTCACTGAAGTGGCTGTCGTCCATTACTGTAGCTCTGAAGTTTTGAATTCCTGCTGCCTTTTGGTGCAAGGATAAGGTAGGATTTATATTTTAATAAGTGGTTTAAGTTGTATTTATGTGATACACAGGACTCTCTGCCCATACAAATTTCACACTTTGAATGGGAAAAGCAATAGTCTTTTTTCAGTCCCTGCAAAAGACCATAGAAAATAATGTCATCTATCTTTGAAGAACTATTACAACAGCATCAACTTTCATAAAAAAAAAAATACGAGGCTTCAAAAATGGATGGCAGTTTGGTTTTTTTTTGTGCCTTCATTTACTCAAGTGACAGAAAGTTCAATAGAAGATCTTCCCTGTGTATTGTGTACAATCTAGCAGAAAGAGGAACAGACAAGCCATCTTCTCTTTTGTATGTTGAATTTAATTGATATTCAAAGCTGCTAAACAATTGCCTCTGCTTAAACCGCTTATCTGATATTATACTGGGTTGTGGTGAAACATCTTTCAGACTTTGCAAGAATGGCCTGAAGGTTAATGAGCACTAGTACCCACATTAGACTTGAACCCAGAGCAGTCTTCTACAACCTAAAACCAGATGGAATGGAAATGTGGTTTATATTTGATATTTTAAGTATTTTTTGTATTCTGGGTGTTTCGTTCATAATAAAGGTATAACAGCTTTCCTTTGTGAATCAAATACATGCTTCTTAAGATCACTAGGTTTAGTCTGATCAGTTAGGCCAGGGGTGTCAAACTTGATTTCATTGAGGGCCGCATCAGGGTTGTGTTTGACCTTGGGGGAGGGAGGGGAGAAGGCATGGCCAGGGTGGGCGTGGCCAGTTTGACATAATTCAACATTTTTGGCTGCAAAGGTCTCCTGCAGCCCTCTGCCAGTGAAAACAGAGTTCAGGGGGGCACGTATGGCCCCCTTGAGCTCCGTTTTTGCTGGCGAAGGGCTGCAGGAGGCTGTCGTGGCTGAAAACAGACCTCATGGGGGCTGTGCGCGGACTCCCTGAGCTCTATTTTCGCTGCCAGAGGCACTGCGGGCCAGTCCTTCACTGTTTCCAGGGCAGCCCCATTATTATTATTATTATTATTATTATTATTATTATTATTATTAATAATAATAATAATAATAATAATAATATTTCTATGCCGCCCACTCTTCGAGGACTCTGGGCGGCTTACACCAAAGACAGTATACTAAATAGCATATTGCCCCCTAACAATCTGGGTCCTCATTTTACCCACCTCGGAAGGATGGAAGGCTGAGTCAACCTTGAGCCGGTGAGATTTGATCACCCCATTTAATTTGATTTGATTTGATGACCCCATGGGCCAGATCTAAGCACTCTGTGGGCTGGATGTGGTCCACAGTACTTGAGTTTGACCCCTGAGTTTAGGCATTGCCAAAAATGAAACCAGACTTATAAAAATAAGCTCTGATTATGTCACATAGGTGGTGTTGGAATGAAAATCCGTCTAGTTCAGTTCAAGACTGGGAGAAAGACACTGGAAACATGGAGGCTGATTGGAAAGATGGTTTAATGATGAACAGAACCAACAGGAGTCCTGGGTCAGCCGACCAATTGGTTTTATGAGTACATGAATTTTTATAAGTTTCAGCGATGCTGCTAGGGGGGTTGTGCAATGTCTGAAACATGCAAAGCGCATGCGCCAGTGGTGGGTTGCTCCCGGTTTGGACCGATTCTATAGAACCAGTAGTAAAACCAGAGGGAGGCTCCGCCCACCAACCCCAATGTCATCAGAACGCTTCTGCGCATGTGCGCGGCCCCATTGCGAACTGGTAATAAAGGTGAGTAGAACCCACCCCTGGCGTGCGCAAAGAGAACTGGTGGTAATACTGTTAGGAAATTTCTTTAATTTAATTAATTCATAAATAAATTTAATAAATTCATAAATTTCATTACTGGAAAACTGAAAAAGTTTGGTGCATTACCAGGTTTAAAAGTCAAGAAACAGAAGATGAGGATGTTAACGAAATCACGAAAATAGAAGATCAAATAGAATGGATAAATAAAAGAGCTTTTAATATTGAGACGGAAGTAAAATATTTGAGTAGGACTATGACAAATATGAACGGTATCTTACTTAAAAAATAACTATGTTAAGACATGGCATGAAATTTTAAAAGACATGGTAAGATGAGCAAAAGAACAATTGTCATTTCTGGGAAAAATTTCTATGATAAAAATGAATATTTTGCTAGCACGAGATTTTTATTTCAGACAATGCCTGCTTTGACAATTGATGCACCATTTAAGCAGTGTCAGAAGGCTATATCTAAATTTGTGTGGCAGGAGAAAATGTGAGTTAAAAATGAGGTGTTACAAGATGCAAAGGAAAGAGGGAAATTGGGTTTATCCAATCTGAAATATTATTTTGCAGTTTGCTGTTTGATTTGGAGGAAAAAGTGGGTGCTGCTAAGGAATAGAAAGCTTTTGGAATTAAAAGAACATTATCTGAGATTGGGTTGCATGGATATTGGTGGTATGGTAAAGTTAAAGTTAAAGTGGATTTTAAAAGTCAATGGGTTAGATGTGCATTATTGAGAATATGGAATAAATACAAATTGGTTCTGCCAGAAAAGATCTTTGTGGATCCCAGCACAAGAAGCATCTTACAAATGAGAAATAATAGGAAAAATAAGTAGCTAAACTATCCTGATATATGATAATTTTGTTAAGAGAGATATAAAATAAAAGCAAGAGAAGAATAGATGGCACAGGGATGTAATTCCCAATGGTTTTCTTATTTGCAATTATTAGAATTATTTAAAGGAGGCAAAGGTGTTTTTGGTTTTGAGCACTGTAAAAGGTTGCAATTTGGAAGAGTTTGAAATAGAATTGTGTACAAATGTTGAACATGTATTTGTGTAATGTATGAACTTTTATTGAAATTTGAAATAGTGAAAGAATGTATGAGAAATTGGGCTAAATTTTTTGGCTACTGTATACAGATGGAGCAATGAGAAAATACGTGGTTGAAAGGATGTTAAGATGATGAGCTTGTTGATCAGAAGGTCTGCAGTTCAGCGGTTCGAATCCTTAGTGCTGTGTAATGGGGTGAGCTCCCATTACTTGTCCCAGCTTCTGCCAGCCTAGCAATTCAAAAGCACGTAAAAAATGCAAGTAGAAAAATAGGAACCACCTGTGGTGGATAGGTAACAGTGTTCTGTGCACCTTTGGCATTTAATCATGCCGGCCACATGACCATGGAGACATCTTCGGACAGCGCTGGCTCTTAGGTTTAGAAACGGAGAGGAGCACCGCCCCCTAGAGCCGGAAATGACTAGCACGCATGTGCAGGGGAACTTTTACCTTTATGATCTTAAAGTCAATTTTTATAACATGTTATATACAGTACCTTAGATTATATGTCACCAGAAAATATTTTTCAGAATGTATAGACACTTCACACTTCAGTTGGAAATGTGAATGGCAAGGTGAGACATTTTATTATGTATGGTAGATGCATGAAAAAAAACCTAGAAAATTCTGGATTTAAATACAAACACTAATTGATAGAATTTCACAGATTAATATACAATTGAGAGAAGAGGTTTTTCTTTTGGGACTGATAGAAAAATCTATTGGAAAAATGTTATGGAGCTTTGTTTCTTTATGTGATAACTACATGTAAAAGATTATGGTATGCACAATGATGGAAAGAGTTGGCACTACCCATAATGGAGGAATGGTTGGTGAAGATGATGGAATGTTGGAATGGCTAAATTGATGTCTTTGATCAAAGAAAAGACAGCATCTACATTTATTGCTGACTGGAAATCCCTCAGAGCAGTGGTGAAATGTAAAATTTGTTACTACCGGTTCTGTGGGCGTGGCTTGATGGGGGATAATGTGACTGGGTGGACGTGGCCAACTTTTTTTTTTACTTTTAAAAGCATTTTTTCTACAACCTATTAGGCCGAAGTGGTTGTATAAAAATGCTTTTAAAAGGCTCTGATGATCACAGCTAAGTCGCCTGATCGTCAGAAGCTTTTTTTCTTTTAAAAGCAGTTTTTTTACAACTTCCTCGGCCAAAGAGGTTGTAAAAAAATGCTTTTAAAAGCCTCTGACGATCAGGCAACTCAGTTGGGATCGTCAGAGCCTTTTAAAAGCATTTTTTTTAACAACCTCTTCAGCTGAAGAGGTTGTAGAAAAAATGCTTTTAAAAGGCTCTGACGATCCCAGCTGAGCTGCGCGATCATCAGAGACTTTTTTTTTAACTTTTAAAAGCATTTTTTCAGCCAAAGAGGTTGTAGAAAAAATGCTTTTAAAAGTTAAAAAAAAAAGCCTCTGATGATCGTGCGGCTCAGGTGGGTATGGGGGGGGGAGGGATTTTTGCTACCGGTTTTCCAAACTACCCACTGCCATCGCTATAGGTTCAGGCAATTCGGTCCGAACCGGGAACATTTCACCCCTGCCTCAGAGACTTTTTGCACAAAACAGGAAAAAAATGAATTTATGATTTTGATGATCAGACAGAATAGCTGATAGAAAGAATGTTATGTTTTTAACCATCCATCAATTTATAATTGTACTTAGAAGAGCTATAAAGAAGATTGGAAGTTACTTCTTCATGTCTTTTTTCTTCTTATCCTTCTATTACATTTTTTCCCCTTCTTGCACTTTCAGCTTTCTGTTTGATTTCTTCCATTTTCTTCATGTTAGTTTGTATTAGTTTTATCTTTCTTTAAAAAAATCTTTAGCATTTCTATATGCATGTATGTGTCTCTGCTTGGTTCTTTTGAATTTGACATGTTATTTAGATCAAAAGAGGTCTATCTGAAAAACACTAGTTTTTAGTTTTCCATTTCAGTACCCTTTTGGTTCTGGCATACTCTACATTCTTTTTCTTTTATATGATTACCAGACTTGACTTAAATCAATATTGGAGAGATGGAAATGTATTTCATGATGTTTCTTCATTGGTCAATAAAATCTTCTGCAGTGCGCTATCAAAAAATGCTGGAGTCAGCTTTGAAGAGGAGAGGGGGAGAAAATGCCCTTCAATGGCAGAGATGCAATTAGAGTGATTTGATGCTTTAAG